GTTCGCTCTCTTGGCTCTTGGTGACTCTTGATTCTCAGGGCTCTGTTGGTCCTGCTTCCAAGCATATGCCTGAATGGCCCTCAGCCATGCAGAATGGACAAATGGACTGCTGTGGGAAACACAAGCTAAGCTAGCCTGATGCTGGACTGGACCCAGCTCCAATGGAATGGAAAGGAAACACTGGACACTGGCTCTGTTTCAGCTCTACTGCAGCCCTAGCTACCTTTTTCTATGCCTGGACTAAGGGAAACAGACCTTTGGAAACCCAGTGGTGTAATTCCACGGAAATAATGTTTTCATCATATCTCATTCTCCCTGTGTGAGTCTCAGAAAATTCCTTTTCTCAGGATATTGCAAGAAACCCACCCCTCATAAGCAATAGGGGGAGCTGAGGCCCTCTCCCCTCCATTAACAGTAAGAGCTAATCAAACCTATAGACACAGTCTTCCTTGAAAAATTGTTAAGAACTTGGCTCCCGGCTCTCTGCAATCTCTATTGTGGACTCAATACAGAGGCATCATGCTTAAGCTCCTGGGCAATGCCTTCAGGGACTGTATATGACCCAGGGTTAGGTTCATATGTGACTCCCAGGATGTCAAGATGGGAACTCTGGAATGACAGGTTGCAAAGGGTCTCAGAGTTTGAAAAGGGTCTTTGCAGGTCATGTTACTGGTCTATACATTAGGGCCATAGATTGACTCAAATTCCTGGCTCTCCCTTGTCATCCATTTCTTTGATGTTCATTGCATGAAATTTAGGATAAACCAAAACTCTGGGGCTATTCCAAGGAGGGCATAGTTCCTGGAGCCATTCTACTCTGAACTTGCTCTCCTTATTCTATTTATCATTCATTCTCCCACACACAATGTGTGTTTTTGTAATCTTCACCTGATGATATATTTTTATTGAATTTTTTAGAGAGAGAGGAAGGGAGAGAGAGAGAAAGAGAAACATCGATGGGTTGCTATTGAATCTGCAACTTAGGTATGTGACCTGACTGGGAATCAAACCCACAACCTTTATGGGATGATGCTCCAACCACCTGAGCCACCCAGCTAGGGCCACACAATGTTCTATTTTTTCCCCCTCCATCTGCCATCTCTTTCCATTCATACCTAAATCAGAAATACACCTACCCAACTGGTTGTGTCTATAATTTACCTTCCATTCTCCTTCTTAAAATGTTTTCCAGGCCTAATTCTTAAAAACAAAATAAAAAGAAACACAAAATCGCACCACTACTACCACCATCACCACCAAAACAACAAAGGAACATACCACCCATTTAACCAAGCAAGAGGATTGGGAAAGTTTTAATCACACTATGTTAAAACTGTTCTTATAAACAACTTCCTCCCGCCCCCCCTGCCCAAGGCTCTGATGGCTTTGGCTGGGGTTTGAAAGATGGATCTGAGGGAACTGTCACCCCTGCCCCTCAGGTCCCCACTTGGCCCTGGACTTGGAGCCATGTAGGTGCTCTTTCTCCTTTCCCTCTGCTTTCCCCTTCTGCCTTTTCCTATTGCCCTCCTTCCTCCCTACCTTTTCTCATTACTCCTATTTACTTCCAACCCTGAATTTCTTTCCAAAATTTTCATCCCTCAAAGTTTCCATCCCCAGTTGGGGCCTGAGCTGAACCTCCTACTAAGACCACCTGTGACAAACTATCCCCAACTCCCATGGTGCCTGATTAGAGCAGTCTCCCTGGCGCCACATGCCTTTGGCAAAGGCACCTTTGAGTATGATCAATGGCTGCTCAGCCAGTGCGCAGTTGTCCAGTTGTCGGAAGTCTCCCTCCGCAGCTCATGTCAGGTCCTGGCAGACAAATGGTTCAAGGGATAGTGGCTCACACAATGGATAGTGGTTCAAAGGCTCACACACCTTTCCCCCTATCTTAACACCTTTCCTTTTCCAATCCACAATTGCTGTTATCTCCCTTCTGCATCCCCAGAATTATTTTCAAAATCTAAACTCTTTGCTTAGCTGTCCTGTTCTTTAGCCTTTGTTGTTTTATTATTTAGATATAAACATTTTTTTCTAAAACACAGGAACAAGAAAGGTGCCAGTGTGCTTACCCGATGCATCTAATAAAGCTCACCCAGTTAATTCAGAGTCATTCTGCACAAAGAAGGCTCGTGTCTGCTTTAGTTTTTCTTTCCCTCTAGGATGCTAATTGTTTTCCTTTTCATTATCTGATAGTTTTGGCCTGAAGTCTAAAATCTGGCCTGCTGGGCTATGTGTCAGATTTGTAAATTAGATGACGTCTGTTTTGAATTTTATCATCTTTAATTTTCTTTCAAGTTCTCTTCATTTATTCATTTCCCCTCCAATTGTAAGGATCAGACTTTGCTGGATGCTTTAGACAAAAGCGTCGACCTTTCTGCTTTTTGGGGGCACAGATTAAAATTACTGAAGTTACATGGTCACAATGAAGGCTATTCAGGGAAAAGATCTTGGGAGAGAAGCCTTAGCAACCATCCCAGAGAGGATGAGCAGTTACCACAAAAGCTGGCTGTCCACACCAGCGTTTTGAAGTTCCCACCGAATAATTATAATCGATTAGAAGGAGATTGACAGTGAAGGTTGAACTGGGTGAAGTATTTTGAATTGAAGAGGTGGTGGAGATGGCAATGGTGGTAGTACGTGAGGTGACTAGTGACCTTTTATCTCTTCACATTTAATTAACCTCTTTGCTTTTTGCTTTTTTCTCTCAGAGAAATAATAAAGGGAAACATGTATGAGTCTTCTCATACATGAAGACTCATATTTTGATAGTGAGACCTTATGCTTTCCTCCTATTTACATACCTGCTAAATTCTTCTTTTCATGGGGAAATTGTTTATTGCTTATGGTTTTGGACTTACTTATTAAGGATCAATTTTTCTGTTAGAATGCCTAATGTAATACCCTTGTATAACATGTTTTCCCTTTATATAAACCTTTTTCACACATATAATCTCACAGATGTCAGTTGGCCTCTTGCAACTTTGCATTTCTAGAGGCAATAGAAGAACGGATGAGTGGCTGGCCAGAACATGTGCCTATGCTCTCACATCGGATCCAGATGTTAGTCATCACTGGGAAGAAGAAATAGCAGGCTGGCTGTGGGCAGAATACAAAATGGCTCCCCCAAGCACCAGCTGGAGAAGCTCTAAACAAAATTCCCGAAACCACCCCATGGACATTGGCCAGCAGTGACTTTGTGCTTGCACATAAATGACAAATCACCCCTTCATGATGCTGGCCCTAGATTTCTTGGATGCTGCTGTATTTGGGCTGTTGCTAGGCAGATCATAGGTCTGTGGAAATGCCATTTTTAAATGGAATATATAGATAGCAGTAGCTTTCAACTAGGGGTGATTTATTAATGCCTGGAGATGTTTGTGGTTATCATAACTGAAAGAGAGGATTGCTATTAGCACCTAGTGCAGTGATGGCGAACCTTTTGAGCTCGGCATGTCAGCATTTTGAAAAACCCTAACTTAACTCTGGTGCCGTGTCACATATAGAAATTTTTTGATACTTGCAACCATAGTAAAACAAAGACTTATATTTTTGATATTTATTTTATATATTTAAATGCCATTTAACAAAGAAAAATCAACCAAAAAAATGAGTTCGCGTGTCACCTCTGACACACGTGTCATAGGTTCGCCATCACTGACCTAATGGGTAGAGACCAGGGATGCTGGCAAATATTCTATAATTCACAGGACAGCTTCACAACCAAGAATTATCTATCCAAATTTTAATAGCACCAGAGTTAGAAGCCCTGGTATATAGGCATCTATACATTGAACCAGGTAACAACAGATTTTCATATGCACAACCAAAACTATGAAAAGAGCCCTTGCGATTTGTCTTCCTTCGACGAACAGTGGTTGTTGACCTTGATGACCACTTTGGCCAGATTATACTCTCTGTTGTAGAATGGGGGAAGAGACCCTTCTAGATTGGCTTCCCTCTTGCTACGTTTTTTCTTGGTCATCAGCATCATCTTCCATGTGTATTCAGTCACTCAAACTAGAATCTCTGGGTTTTCATCCACTCTTCTCCCCTACTTCTCATCACACCTCCTACTAGTGATCAATTCCTCATAATCCTGAGCTCTCTCTCCTTATAATGATCTGCCCCGACTTCTTAAATTCCCCACCACCGACCACAATTGAAGGAGCCTATTGTTAAGTTTTCAGCACTAGCATCCTGGTCGCTCTCTCTCTGGCCAGCCGGCTGCTCTTGCCAAATCCATTCAGTGCTCCACAACATTAGCCACTTCCTCATTCATCTAGTCCTTTGGTGAGAAAATATTTATTGAGTGCCTACTCTGGTCATTTCTGTGCTAGGAGCTATGACCACTCCCTGGATTAAAATCTTCCCAAGCTTCCATGTTGCTTACAGGACAAACCCCTTGATGCAGCATGTAAGACCTCTGATAATCTGCCTCTGACCTAACTTTTCGGCTTAGTCTAATACCCTACGCTGATGACCTTGAACCTGCCACATTGAATCAACTGCTTTTCCTTAGTCCAGCTCACACACTCTTGAGCTCTTTTATCCGTGCATGTGAGGAGTGTCCTTTCTATCTACTCTCATTATTCATCCTGTATAACTTACTCTAGTACCTACACAGATGCTTGGCACGGACACTACTCAATAAATATGGAATGAACTTAAATTTCACCTTCTCTGCGAAACACTCTTTAATTACCTGGCTGTTGGTTAGTATGTGTCTCATGCTCCCTAGTTCATTGTATGCACTTCTGTTAAAACCCTGTCACATACTCTGACTGTGAACCCCTTGAAGGATGGTGTTTGAGAGTACCCTGTATTTAGAAAAAGTTCTGGTAAGTGTAATAATTTATTTAGAAGTTATTCTAGGTTGAGGTAGTGGGTTTGGCTTTCTTTGGGAAGTTTCACGCCTACAAAAGAAAGTGTAGCTGCCTGTGCTCTGCCTCCTTGGAGGTTCTCGACAGATTCTCGAGTCCACAGAAATTCCTGCTCACCTGCCACTTTGGGGTTTGGTGGTTTCCAGTTGTCGGGTAAGGAGCTTGGCAATGGCAGTGAAGCTGTTGCTCATGCGGAAGATGTCTCTGCTCTGAGGGCCCAGGAGGGAGGAGAATGTGTCTGTGATGCTCTTAATCTCCAGCAGGAGAATATGGTGAAAGGAGTGCTCCATGTTGGCCAGCTGACTCACCAGAAATGGCAGGCAGCTCCTGGCTCTCTCCTGCCAAGAACAACAAAGAACATGTATAAGTGTTGGTGGGAATGTAAACTAGGACAGCCACTATGGAAACCAGTATGGAGGTTCCTCAAAAAATTAAAAATAGAGCTACCATATGATCCAACAATCCCACTTCTGGGAATATTCCCCAAAGAAATGAAATCATTATCTTGAAGGGGTAGTGGCACTCCCATATTCATTGCAGCATTATTCACAATATCTAAGACATAGAAACAAGTGTCCATTGACAAATGAATGGTTAAAGAAAATGCAATAGAATATTATTCAGCCATTAAAAAAGAAGGAAATCCTACCATCTGTATTAACATGGATGACAATGGAGGACAGTATGCCAACTGAAATAAGCCAGACAGAGAAAGACAAATACTGCATGGTGTTAGTTTTAAGTGGAATCTGAAACAAACAAATACTCATACAAATTGAGATGAGAAAAGAGGTTGCCAGGGGCTGAGGGAAGGGGAAAATAGGGAGAATTAAAGGGTACAAATGTTTAGTTATAAGATTATAAAATCTGAGGACCTCATGTATAACATGGTGACTACAGCTGATAACATTGTCCTGTGTAATTGAAGTTTGCTAAAATATGGGAGGTGATGGATGTGTTAATTAACTCAATGGAGGAATCCTTTCACAATGTACTGGTATTATGTATATCAAGTCATCACATTATACACTTTAAATATCTTATAATTTAACATCAATTATACCTCAACAAATCTGGGGGGAGGGGATGAGGAAGAACAATGAAGAACAAAGGCCTATATTTTAAGAGTCTCGTGACCTGCAGATGGCAGTTCTATGGGTGTCTACTTAGAGAACTAGCTGGAGCTAAACAGCATTTCATTCAGAGTGCCTTTGAATTGGCTTCTTTGAAGTTTTAATTTTTTTCCTGATTTTCAGGAAAACTTTTTAAAATAAAACGTTTGTTCTGTTACTCCTTTCTTATAAATAGGTAAATTATCTCATTGGCCTATCTCACCCGGTCTAAATCTCTCAACCTCCATTAATAATCTGACCCCACACATCTACCCTTCCCAAGTTTGTGACTTTCTCTGGCCAGTCTCCAAGTCTGTGCCTCACTAATTCTACCTGCCCAGGAGAGGCCTGGTCAATCCTGGATCCATCCATCTGCCTTGTATCAAATCAGTGTCCAAAGTTTACCTCCTCTCCACACGACATGCTCACTCATTTGTTTACTTTGGGCATCTTTCAATATGTTCCATAGTGTATGTGCCTGGTCAAACAAATAGATTGTGTTCCTTAGTTTTAATCAAATTAGCTCTCACAAATGATTTAAAAGAAACTGAAGATGAACAATGACATGAACAATGCAGGCATGAGTGAATAACCAGAAAATGGCTTAGCTGACATGTTTCCTATACCTATCAATACTCCTCAGCAGCCATAGTAGGAGGTGCCATAATTGACTAACCAACATGACTAGAACTTACCCAAATTTTTTTTAATTATCAAGAAAGTTATTTGAAATGTAAATGTGCACCCAACATAAATAATGATATACCATTGAAAAATAAAATAATTTTAAATATGGATTATTTCATTTTTAATTCCTCTTTTAAAATCTTTTAAAAAAAAAAATTTCATTGATTCTCTACAGAGAGGAAGGGAGTGGGACAGAGAGCCAGAAACATCGATGAGAGAGAAACATCGATCAGCTGCCTCCCCCCACACCCCCACTGGGGATGTGCCTGCAACCAAGGCACATGCCCCTGACCAGAATCGAACCTGGGACCCCTCAGTCTGCAGGCCGACGCTCCATCCATCGAGCCAAACCGGTCAGGGCTAAAATCTTATTTTTATGTATTCAATATTTTTGTAATGTTAGCATAATAGAAAATATGTATAACTATAAATAAGTATATGTATTGGAAGTTGATGCTCAAAATCCCAAGTGATAAGTGGTGAGTTATTCTTCTCACCAGGAACTCCTTTTTACTCCTTGTTCTAATATTTGACGCCTTAATTTCTTTCAACATGTAAATCTTGTCTCCTCCATGAGCTCTCCACTGTGCCCATTTCTCTCTGAATTTTCACTGTATTATAGATTATTTTTAAAAATATTGTTTAGCACTTGATCATTTCTTTATTCTTGTTTTTATTTAGTTAACAAATAGGTATTACATGCCTATATATGCTTGTGCTAGATTCTAGATGACAAAGATGAATTGGTCTCTGCCTTTAAGAGACCCACAATCCCCCTTTCATTTATAATTCTCTAGTGGTTACATGTACCAGCCAAGTCTCCTAAAGGGGCTACTTCTCATATATCAATCATCTGCCTGGCACAGAACTGAGTGTGTATGTCTCGGTTCATTATTTGAAGCAATCTCACATGCCAAAATATGACCTGACAAATAAAGCATGTAGTTGCAAAGGAATCTGTGCTTTACAAGAAATATTTATTACAGAACAGATTTAAGTAGTGAAGTTCTCTACTCTTTAATACTTAACTTGATTTTCAAAGATTCCATGTACAATTGCACCGGAACACATCTCTTGGGGAAGTGGAATACACAGCTTGACAGCTAATTGAAGAGATATGTATTCATTAAAGGATTAAAATGTTAGATAAATAAAAAATAAGACCATTGGAACAAGTTCCTGACAGCCCATTTTCTATTTTTGGCTCATACAATTGCCAAGTTGCAGAAGGACACTTAGATGTTCTCAGATGCTCTTGAGTCTAATATATATATTGCAACATAGAATCTTTCATGCATGCAAGGGCTCCGAATGTGAATTCATAGTATGCAGTGCATCTCAGGGACATTTTCCATTCCCCATTTAAAGGCAAAAGCTGTATGGGTCCCTACCATGCGCTAGGCCCTGTTGTAGAAGTTAGGAACACAGAATGGAAGAAAATGCCTGCCATGACAATGAGGCAACAGATAATAAACAAAATGCATATGTAAAATATATAGTGTGTTGGATAGAGAAGTGTGCCTCAGAAAAAGATGGGGCAGGGAGGGTGTTGATGTTAAATAGTGTCACCAGGTCAGATCTCACAGAGAAGGAGACACCTGAATTCAACAAGCTTTTAAAGTCTAAACCCAACATTCTCAGTAACCATAGAAAACAATTACAGTAAAAGTCACCCTGGTCGATACAGGGAAGTCAGGAGATGAAGAACTGGGACATGGGAGATGTGCCATTTTCCTACTGAGCATGTACTTTCAAATTTCAAGTAACTTCCTCAGCTTCTGATTCAGATTTCTCTTTAACAATTTTTTTTACACCGTGTCACAAACATTTCATGTGCTCATCTAAGTGTCCCTATAATTTCATTAAGAATTCTCACCCTGGGGGAGAGACCAAGATGGCGGCATAGGTAAACACCAGAGACTGCTGCCGCAAACAACCACTTCAAAAATACAACTAAAAGACGGAACGGACATCACCCAGAACCACAGGAAGGCTGGCTGAGGAGAGACTCTTCAACTAGAAGGAAAAATAACAGCACACCGAGGCTCAGAGGAGGCGCAGTGTGGAAAAAACTCAGGTGCGGAGGTGCGCGCGCAAAGCGGGCTGGTGGCTGAGAGCGCGGTTGTCGTTTTCGGTCAGGGGGGAGTCTCAGACTCTGAGCTCCAGATACGGGCGAATCGCTGGGGACTCGGACCCAAACGGGAGAAGCGGGAGTGTCTGGCATCAGTTGGAAGGCAGCTTTCCCTCCGAGGTTTGCAGCGGTTCCGGGGGTTCTGAGAAGCAGAGCCTCTGGGAACAGGACTGAGGGCACCATAACGGCTCCCTCCGCCCGCCCTGTTGAGCCCGCCCCGCCCAAGCCCTGCGCAGAGCCATTTGCCGGATCGCCTCAGGCAAAGGCTAGATTAGCACCTCCCCAGAGGACAGAAGTTTTCCGCGGCAGACACAGCTGATTCACACAGCCAGTCGGCCTGGTGGTCAAATCCCTCTAGTATTAACTACAACAATCAAGGCTCAACTAGAACAAGACTGCGCACAAAGACCACTAGGGGGTGCACCAAGAAAGCATAAAAAATGCGGAGACAAAAAAACATGACAGAAATGGAGGATATAGAGCTAAAAATCGCAATTTTGAGGGCTTGCAAAAATGTGCTAGAAGCTGTCAATAAACTTGAGGAGAGAGTCACGAAAACTAATGAGACCCTCGATGCTATGATAAAGAACCAACTAGAAATTAAGCATACACGGACTGAAATAAAGAATATTATACAGACACCCAATAGCAGACCAGAGGAGCGCAAGAATCAAGCCAAAGATTTGAAATGCGAAGAAGCAAAAAACACCCAACCGGAAAAGCAAAATGAAAAAAGAATCCGAAAATACGAAGATAGTGTAAGGAGCCTCTGGGACAGCTTCAAGCGTACAAACATCAGAATAATTGGGGTGCCAGAAGATGAGAGACAGCAAGATATTGAAAACCTATTTGAAGAAATAATGGCAGAAAACTTCCCCCACCTGGTGAAAGAAATGGACTTACAGGTCCAAGAAGCGCAGAGAACCCCAAACAAAAGGAATCCAAAGAGGACCACACCAAGACACATCATAATTAAAATGCCAAGAGCAAAAGACAAAGAGAGAATCTTAAAAGCAGCAAGAGAAAGAGACTCAATTACCTACAAGGGAATACCCATACGACTGTCAGCTGATTTCTCAACAGAAACTTGGCAGGCCAGAAGGGAATGGCAAGAAATATTCAAAGTGCTGAATACCAAGAACCTACAACCAAGAATACTTTATCCAGCAAAGCTATCATTCAGAATTGAAGGTCAGATAAAGAGCTTCACAGATAAGGAAAAGCTAAAGGAGTTCATCACCACTAAACCAGTATTATACGAAATGCTGAAAGGTATCCTTTAAGAAGAGGAAGAAGAAAAAGGTAAAGATACAAATTGTGAACAACAAACATGCATCTATCAACAAGTGAATCTAAGAACCAAGTGAATAAATAATCTGATGTACAGAATGAACTGGTGATTATAATGAATCAGGGACATAGA